TTTTTTTTTTTTTTTTTTTTGAGTGGAGAAAAAGGAAGGTTAATGAAGCTGATTATCTAATCTTTGTTGCTTCACATTATAGATGTGTGAATACTTCTATGTAGCTTTGACCCTGAAAGTAGTAGTTGAGTGGAGGTATTTGACAGTGATACAGTGTATCACTCCATCTCCAGGTGAGGAAGAACTTCTTTCCTGTGAGGGTGACAGAGCCCAGGAACAGGCTGCCCCGGGAGGTTGTGGAGTCTCCTTGTCTGGAGGTCTTCAAAACCTGCCTGGATGCCACCCTGTCCCCCATGCTTGAGCGGAAAGGATAGACTAGATAATCTCTAAAGGTCTCTTCCAATCTTGAATATTCTGTGATTCAGAGTATAGGATTGTGCAGTTGTTTATCATATTTATTGTTCATTTTAACTAGGCCATTCCCTGAGTTGATTTCCTGAACCAGCATTAAGCAGGTTCAAACACCTATATTGGTAGCACAATCAGTGGGCATGGAGTGTGGATGAAAGGGTGATTCCTTTGGTATCAGCTTTATCTTGGGCTGTTTTAAGCAATTTATTGGTGTGACTTACTATTATATGTTCTGAAAGTCTCTCAGATGTTGTTAGAGGAATTCTGTAGCATCTGCAAAATGAAGCTGAAAACTATGCAAGTTTCCATGGAAACTGGAAAGATCTGAAGAATTAAACAGAGGAAAAAAATAAAATTGGTAGAGTAAGACTTTATGCTGCTAGTTTTAAAGTTTGTAAATTAGTCCAAAAACTAGCTGGCGCCAGATAGGGAAATSGGGATTTTGTAGGTAGGGGAAGGTGGGCCTTTTCTGTCTTGTAGTTGCAACACCTTTTCTAGTTTCAGATGTTTAGCAAAGTTCTCTTTTTTATATGTAATTGGGCCAGATACCTACATTATGGTTTTCCTTAAAAAAAAGCATGTCCTTCATTATACAAAGATATAATAATATAAAGGCTAAAAAAACAAGGTTTATATAATATTAAATGTTTTCTGTAGGCATTCATCCCACCCTGATTCATTCGTATTTATTTCCCTTTAAGGCAGTAGCCTGCTTTAAATATCCATATTGGATAGACTGACTTCCCAGCAGATATCAGTGTGTTGTTTACATGTTTTTTTTTTAATCTTTAAAAGCTGTGTTAACTTTCTACAGTTACCATTTTGATTTCAGTTGCTGAAGTACTTCAGATTTAATGTAATTCACAGTAAGACTCATTTCCCTTATAGCAAGGAACTTCTTCTAAAAACGGAATATAAAATTAGTTTCTCTTTTGTTTTATTTATATATGTGCATCTTAGGTAAATGACAACTTGAATCTTGACCTGTCAGATGATGAGGAGCTGAGAGAGCAGCTGGATATGCATTCCATCATCGTTTCCTGCATCAACGAGGAGCCGCTATTCACAGCAGAGCAGGTGAAGTGTTCAGCAAAGTGTTGTTTTAACATTTCCTTTTGTTGTTCTTCTTGCTGCTGACAAATCTTTAAAAGAGCCAAGCTGCTTTATTTTCTTTAAATTAAAGGCATTAATAATGGATGCAGTATTACTACATCGCTCAGATTTGGTTCTGAAAATAGAATTCCAGTGCTTCAGATGAGATTGATAGTCAGTGTCTTTGAAATCTTCAGAGTTTTTTCAGGTTTTTGGTTTTTGCATATTGAGTTGCAAAAAAAACCAAAAACAAAAGAACAAAAAAGCAAACAAAAAAAACATTTTCAGAATGTTAGTGGTATGGTAGAGTTTGGAATTTTCAGATGTKACAGCATAGACGTTTAACTCTTGCATCTTCATAAGTCTTTGTGGTTAGTGAAAAGTCTTTCAAAAGTTTGCCAAACATTAGAGCAGATCAACGGTTCTGCTATTACGCTTTGAAGTTATATTGGATGTAAGGGGTTCTGCTGTAAAGCCATAGACTTGCTTAAGTTCTCTTTAAAGTTGTTTTGCTGAGTAAAGTATTTTAAGACCCCGCTTTTGTAAGCAAATGCAAGAGTATTTACTGTTGTTTTAATAGTTATCTGTGAACTCTGAGCATGTTTACTGAGGGTGCAAGAGACAGGATAGCTTGAACTTGGTTCTTTTTGATTGCAAGATGGATCTCAGCAATGTCTGCAGCCTTTAAATCTGCAAAGGTAGATCGCTTTTTGTTCAGCTATTCAATTAATAGCTTAGCCTGTGGATAAAGGTCATTTATTTAATGAAAAATAAGCCTTCTATGCATTTCTGTTCTCATACTACTTAGCCAACTGAGACTTGCACCTTGAGATCAATATCGGCTTCAAATTGCAGATCAGTTCATAACACTTCATACAAATAAACTCACTAAAAATTAAAGTTTTTCAGGCCCTTTTTTGTCATTATTATAATCTTGCCTGTTAGCTTTTGTAGATAATGACATTCTAATGACAAAATAGTTGCAACATGATGATAAGCTAATACAGAGCTGAATGAGCAAATATAATATATGTAAGCCAAAAAAAAGGAATGTGGGAGTCCATTTGCTCCACAAGCTATTAGAACTGCTTTTGTTAATAACATCGTGAGAATCTTGCATTGTAGTCTAGGTGCCTGATTAACAGGAAGGTGKTGCCAAATTGGAGGGAGTACAGAGAAAAATAGTCAAAAAAACCCTGAAAATTCTGAGAACACACMGTTCCATTTCCTCTAAATGTCTTCATGTGACTTTCTTTAATATAATCTTTGCTCTATATGTAGTAAAGTATCTGTTCTATAGAAGGACAAAGTAGTTCCTCTTAGTGAAGTGTAGTGAAATTAGAAAATATTCTTTAATTGACTCTTATTTTGTTTTTCTCATTATTCAGATAAGTTGCCCTCAGCAGAACTATATGTATCTTTATATGGAAGTAACTTTAGTTTCAAGACACTATTTGCTTTCAGACCAGTTTATCTTAACGAAACAGGTTCATTTGCAGACAATGAGAGAAGAAAGAAAGGGAAGAAAAGACAACAAGTTTCTATAATGCGCCTTCTGAGTCCAATCCCATCATTAGTTCTACGCTTTACGCTTTCCTTTTTTTTTTTTTTTTTTTTTTTTTTTTGGTGATTGAAGAAATAGAGGAGATGATGCAGGAATCGCCTGATCCAGAAGATGATGAAACACCCACCCAGTCAGATCGACTTTCCATGCTTTCCCAGGAAATTCAGACACTCAAGAGATCTAGTACAAACAACAGTTATGAAGAAAGTAAGTGATATTTCTTTTAATATTTTGGTTTTAAGCTTATTGAAAATATTTTAATAGGTACATTTTCCATGTAATTTGTAATAAGTCTTTCCATGTAATTTGTAATAAGTCTTTCCATGTAATTTGTAATAAGTCTTACCTTTTAAATACTTATTCAAAAATATTTTCAAAGTACCCAAAAGATAAGCCATTGGTAAAGCATAAAGAGAAAAAAAAAAAGAAGCTTGCCTTTAACTGATACGCCTCAGAAAATAAAGCAATATAGAATTTAAGATCAATTTTGCTAAGGGTCGATTCATAGATAATGTCCACTAATCTCATAGTCCATTCATAGATGATATGATGTCATTTATTAAACTTTATTATGTGCTGCACTAGCTGTGAGACACTTCTTGAGGGCAGTATGTTATTTGTGCTTAGGGAAAGCTGCTTAGTAGATGAACAAAGCGTTGTTTGGTAGGGATTTTCGATCACTGCAACTTGTCTTGATACATTGTAGCACAGAAATAACAAAACTTGCTTTTTCTATGTAAACACCTTGTCTATTTCTGTCTTTCCCTTTTACTCCTCAAGAAACTTAAACAGGTTTTTTTAGTATTTAAAGAAAAAAAAAAAAAAAAGAAAACAATACACTTTGTTTCCTGGTCTAAGGAGGAACACTTGATTTCTTATGCAAAAGAAAAACAGAATTTATGTTTATTTTTTAATTATGTAATAGACTGGATTATATTTATGTTACAAGTTAAGAAACTTGTAACTAACTAACCTGATACAAAGCATCTGCTATCAACCTCTGATGCAAAGTACCTATGGTTTGGTTTAGGAAGTTTGGTGTTTTCTTTGTTGTAGTCTAGCCCAGTAATAAGATCTGCAAATGATGCAGAAGACTGTCTGACCTTCTGTGACGTGATCTGCAGTCTCTGCTATGTTTCAGATTTACAGAGTAGATTCCATATTTGTTCTCTTAGGTGACTCAAAATATGCATTTCAGGAATGTGAAAAGAAAGCACAGCTTGTTCCAGAGGATTGCCTACTTTTCTGACTGTTCCATATGACCTTTCATTTTGAGCTAATCCCGCTCGCTTTATATGCGGTATCATATTTATTTTGCTTTGCCTTAGGAGTACATCTTTGCATCGTTGTAGCTGAAATGCCAATTTTGACCAACCAATCCTTTGAGTTGCACTGGCAGATAGTGTAACTTCACCAGTTCCTTATCATCTGCGTTCACATCTTTTTTTTTTATGGAGAGCTCTTGCTATGTACAAGCTCACTCTGGATTTTTAGGGCAAGGCGGGGGACCTTTAGGACTGAGAGCAGGAAATCAAAGCTTGTGTTTATTCTCTTCTTGGATGGGGAAAGACTTCTATGAAAATATTCCAAAAAGTAAAACCATAACTCTAGTTTCACAGTACTTTAACCTATASACCTAAGGTATAATCCATATAGTCTTATACATTTGATTCCATATAGTAGTCAGGTGCATTTGAATCACTTTGTCCTCATTCGCTGCAGCAGATAATTTATGCATTGCCCTTTTATAGGCAGTGATTGTACCAACATGTCTATCATAAACAATTGCCTCTATCTTTTTGGAACAACTGCTTTCTAGGCTGTTCAGTTGGTTCATAAGTGTTGGGACTCCCTCATGCTCTTTCTAGTTCTTTCAAGCTGTCAAACAGGAGAGGCGCAACTTATGCATGCTAAAAGCAAGAAGAAACACATTTACTCACATTAATTTTTACTGCAGAGTATGCTGAGCTTTACAGACTGTAGGGCATTTTTCTGCTACTTGCATTCCCAGAGCATCAGATAGTCTTATTATGTTCCACCCGTTTCACATTTTATATTTGGGTTGACACTGCTCTTTGGTGCTGGTAATCAGAGTTGAATTTGCAAAAAGTTACTGTTGTGGTGAGACCAACCACGGGCTATGACACAGTCAAGATGCAGTGTTACAAGAAGTCACAACCCACATGCTGCATACTTAGAATAGTTTAAGCAAGAGTACAGGCAGCAGATAGTTCAAATTATTTGAAACTTAGAACCATAAGCATCCTCTGCTGATACATTGCTGTAACAGAGTTTAAGGTTTAAACAACTCTGAAGGTAACAAAGGTGAGAGAATTATCTTAACAAGGTTCACCTCTTCTCCTTTAGTAAATCAGTGAAAAGGAGCTTTCTGCGTAGATCTTCCCTGTTGTAATTTAAGGAATTAAATTGTGTTTTATGTGCTATGTTTTGATTCTTCTGAGATCTATGCTTTATAATAGTTTGTAAGCCCATCTGTGTTTTCCAGYGTTTGTCCGTGGGCTTTTCCTTGTAACAATTTTGTAAAAAAATTTACTGGACTAATTGATCATAACCAACTACCATCTGTGTGATGCCCTTAAATAGATTATACGTGTAACCAAGTCTTTGGGAGCTACAATTTCTCAAATGGCAATAAAAAGTGTGTTCTTTGATACCTCTAGACAAGCTATATAACACTCTATTGAAATTTCTTGAAATTCCTGCATGTCTTCTCATGCTTAAAATCCTGACAGATTGCTTTTATACAAACCATTTCTAGGAGTAAAGAGATTGTCTGTTGCTGAGTTAAATGAACTGCTTGAAGAAATTGAGACTGCCATTAAGGATTATTCTGAGGAACTGGTACAGCAGTTGGCATTACGAGATGAGTTGGAGTTTGAGAAGGAAGTGAAAAACAGCTTTATCTCTGTCCTCATTGAGGTACAGAATAAACAGAGAGAGCACAAAGAAACAGCAAAGAAGAAAAAGAAGCTGAAAAATGGTAGTCCTCAAAATGGCAAGCAGGAAAGGGGTCATATGCCTGGCACGGTAAGAAGAGCATTGTAACTATATGTATATGTGTATATATACATTCAAAATAGTTTTTGTCTTTCTCTAGGGGAAAATAATACCCCTGGATTATGCCAACATATTGTTAAATCTTCACCCATGCCTTCATACACAGTTGAGGCTCGTGCTCTTTCTATTGAGATTTTGTTTTTCACAAGTTCATGTAATATTTTACTCATATTCCAAAAAGAAATTCTATTTTTTTGAGATTAGCCTGGAATCAGCATCCCATTCTTGTAGGAAAGGTCTTTGGTTGCACTGCTGTATATGCTCCATTAGAAAACAATGCAAATACATTTGTGTACTTGGTTTTACTGTGGGAATTGTACTGTATGTACTAGTGTTAGACTTCCAGGAAATTCATGGTGCATATCAATATTGATTAATCATATTAATTTTTTGTAAAGAAACAGAAAAACTCTTTTGCTGAATCTCTTGAAACCTGTGAAAAACATAGGACTCTCACTGAAAGAGAGGAGCGAGGTTGAAGTATAATACAGAAGTATAGGGAGATCATTTGCTTTCTTCTRTTTTTCCTTTTGTTGCTGTGTTCTCAAAGGAATAAAGTCTGTTAGACCAAATTTGAATGATAGCAGGTAGAAAATGAAAGAAATAAGCTCATATCTTCTTGATGCAATTTTGTTTTTCTTGTCTATCCAGTATAATTTTCAGAGAGATATTAGATTTTTGAGGTCAAGACTCCCAACAAAAGTACATCCTTATAACTGCTGAAAATGATAGAATTTCTATGCATGATAGGATGCAGAAAATGTGATCAGTTTGTTGATGGTCTTGGCTAAGTCCAAGAATAAGAAGAAAGCAAGGGATAAATTTTTTTATAGAAACTTTAATTCTTTGGAATCTTTGTCTAAATTCAGAAGAATTAAATAACTGTGATGTAACCCAAATGTAATTTTGATCTTGTCTGTCTTCTCAGGAAGACAAGTCTGGGAAAAGTAGAGCTAATTTCCAGAGTGATTTTGGACCAATTGATTCATTTTGAGACTTGTGAAAAAGGAAGAATAACATGGTTCTGATTTATTAACTGTTAAGTTATAGRCATTTATTTACCTTTAGGAATTTATTTTCCTTTAGTCATTACTAACCATTAGGATCTAGATATTGTTTACTGAAATTAAACAGTTCATCTTGATAAACTTGTATCCACACAAGGAATTATGCTCGCATTCATCATTCTGCTGCCTAAGAACTCAAACAATGTGGTTCCTGTAGCTTAACGCAGTTAATGCCCTAGGTGACTGTATGTACAAACCAGAAAAATTCAGTGTAAAACTTAAGAAGTTAATTTTAGGAATTAAGATGTTTTACCACATACCTGCTGTTAGCTGTCGCATTCTAAAGTGTTGCGAGATCTGTGTGAAGGCAGGTCCCCTCAGAGTCATAAGCTTTTTGATGTGAAGACCTATTAAGATGAATCTTAAGAAGGATATGATAAGACAGTTTTATCTTCCTGTTTTCTATTTCTCTTTCTATATCTCTATAAGTGTTTGAAAACCTATACCAAGCATAGTGAAAAGTCAGCTCTTGTATATCTAAGATTCAAATTTGAAGTTTAACATAGAGTTAGTTTTTATAATTTGTTACAATTTATAATTATAACAATGTGATTTATTTTAATAATTCATAATTACAGGCTTTGGGAAAATCATTTTTACATACTTAAWTTTTTTTATCATTTTACAAGGGCACATTTTTGAGGAGCAATTACAATTACTTGGTGCTTGACGATATCAGTTACTTTAAGTGCAATATCCTAATAGAGTTAAGATGGCTTCAGAATGTCTGTGTCTTTAATTACTGATCTCATTGTGTTCCAAAAAGCAAAGTAATACTGTCCTTCTTGCACTTTATTCCCCCTTCCTGAAAATAAAGCATCAGATGGGTATTCTGAGGAGTGCCTACCAGTAGCTTTACAGCCTCTGTTTGAGTTCTTGTTTGCTACCGAATCTGACATCTCATGCAAGACTTCAGAAATATCTGAATCTGTTTTATGATTGTTTTCTCCATAAAGAAAAAAATATAAAAATTCTTCCAAGTGGTAGACATAAGAATGACAGCTTCTAAGCAGTGTGTCTGATAGGTGCTTAAAACCTGAAAAACTACTGTCAGTTTTAGCTCTAAAAATATATTATTCAAGCATTAAAGACAACCATTTTCAAAACTAAACTTTGAAAAATGTTACTTTGTATTTTTAAAACTAAAAACCTGAAAGTATTTCTAAAGTACAAGTCATATCGAATAATAAAATTGAAATTTGAGATCTTCTRCATGAAGATTTTGCTTATTAATATATKGGCATAAAAACATTTCAGCTGGTTTTATTAATGAAACAAACAGAAATGTACTAAAATACCTCTTACGGCTTGCTGTTGTCATTCATCTTTTTGTGCTCTTGATAAATGCTCAATAATAGTCTCCTGAACTTTTCTCTGTCCCYTTTTTTCTCTCTCTGCCATGTTTTCACTGCCTTTAGCGCTTCAGCATGGAAGGGATCTCAAATGTCATACAGAATGGCCTCCGCCACACGTTTGGGAACGCAGGTGGAGAGAAACAGGTGCTGGGCTATGCTCTCTCTTTTCCTCCTTTGCCTGCACTGTCGGTAGGAGCTGAGATCTTAAAAATTGACACCTATAGCATGCATAGATCAAGGGTAAATGTTGGAATAGGAGGAAGAAGGAAAAAAAAAAACCCACACAGAAGAAATGCATTGACATACATAATCTTTCCCTATTGAAGTCAAGCTTACAGTCTCTTTCATTCCTCAACAGCTTGAGACAATCAGGACCTGATGCACTGATACACTGGCAGAGTAGCTTTTATTTCCTACCCAAGAATAAAAGTCAGCTTTGGCACGATGCATGTACATTGCATGTATGTAAATGTCTAACGCCCAAAAGAAGGATATATATCAGATTATGTATCAAGTTTCAGCCTTCAGCACTGAGGATAGGATAATACTTACTTTGGAAAACAGAGCTTGTTTGCTTGAGGGTTTTACTTGTTATGCTTTTTTTTTCTCCTCTAATATTCAGAAGTGATATTTCTAATAACAGAGTAGCATCTGCAGATATGCAGGGACCATGTATCTTTTTGCCTTTGAAAACTGCATTATGTTAAAAGCAGCCAGTTGTATGCAAAGGAGATTACTGATAAGTAGTACATTAGCTAAAGGTGAGTTTGTATCTTTTTATTGACTATGTAAATGTTGAAAAATACAGCACAGAAGCCCAACGTTAGTGGTATTTCTGCAGATGTTGCATATACCTAAGTAGCATCATTCTTATTTTTTATTTCAAAGTAATTCTTGTTTCTTTCATAATAATAATAATATCTTATTAATTGCATTCTTTATTCTGATAAAGTGCTATTTATACTATTGTTAAGTTTTTAGCACTTTTCTTTAAATAACAATATTTGATGATTAATTATTCGAAAATTGCTCCTGTTGTGAAGAGGCTATTTTGTGTGCTTCACTGATGGAAAAAAAAAACATCTCTTGTTAAATTTTATTGAAGTTGATTTTTTTTTTTTTTTTTAAAGTCATGCTGTCCTACTTTCCAGTAAAGACTAAGCAGTTTGTCTCAGAATATCATTGTTCTTTTTTATCAGTCTAGCAGTTCCTGAGGCAGACTGTGCTTTCTGGATTTTCTATGTAGTGTATTTATCGATAGTGCTGGATCCATTTATAGGGCTTTAGGGTATAGCTCTTGGAGGAAAAAAAAAAAGAGTTCTGAAAAGATATGCAACACAAAACACACTGTACAATGTCAAGGTGCCATAATAATCACATATTAGCCAAAGAAAGCACATGYCACATGTGACCATATTAGTCACATGCAGAATAGAAATGCATGAATGCTTTTTTATCTTGGCAGTGTGACCATTTAGGGTAGGAGGGAACTGCTGCTTTAATGATGCAAGGTGCTTTAAGATGCTTGAATTGTAACTCTGAGTAACTAGGTAAGATGCACAATAGCACCTCTGTTCCTTATGCTTGGAAARATATTCAAGCTTTCATTCCCTCCTAATGAGAAATAGATGCAGCTGCCTTGATATGAAGGCAAACAGCTGTTGGGCTAACRTTCTTGTTCACTGTGGTCTTACTGTCTACATAATTTACCTTGTACTATTTTTTTGTTAGCTGGCTTAAGACACTTTTGCCTTTCTATTTCTTAAAGGCTATCTTGCATTTAATAGGATCTTAAGATGAGAAGCAGGGGAGAAATGTCGGAAAGAATATTATCAGCACTTTACTGACTTAGTCCTGGAAAACCTGGCTTGAATGGGATTTGTCTAGTCACCTGATAAAGGTTTTGTTTGTTTTTGGTCACTTCACTAAACCAGGGTCATACTTTTAAAATTTAGGTGTAATTCTCTTAGTGCAGAAAGCAATTGAAAGTTTTTTGGAAAGCTTCCTTAAGAATGTGCATTCATATACACTGCAAAATAAAATGTAGCCTGAGCACATTTAATAAAAATCTTCAATGAAGTTGTTTCAAAATTTTGAAAGAACTTCGGTTGCACTCCAGATATGAACATTCTGCAAGACTTTAAATTGTTACTTTGATTTACTTAGGCAAAACTGAGAGGAACAAAAATTTTCGAATGTGAATGGAGTTGACCCAAAACAGTTTGTCAGCACACTTGAATACTATAAATGAGAATTTAAATAAAAATGCAAGTGATGGGCTATCTTGGCTTAGTTAGACTTGCCTTGTTCTGTTTGGTTAGAAGTATGTGGAGTTGGGAAGTTTCTATTTTCAGTTTCATCCAATTGTGGAGTTGTCTGATTTTTCGTTGTGCAGAGGAACAGAAGAGCTTCAGAGCTGGTGCAAGCGAATGCTCTTTGATCTATCAAAATCCTGGGAATGTTTCACATACTTAAGAGCTGAGCAATCGCTAAGGAAATCCCATGGCTTTTTTGAGACTGTTCAAACACAGTGAATGCCAAGTTTGGAGATTGTTTTCAAATACGTATCTCAAATATACGAACCGGAGCAGCTTATGCTATGCACCCGTACAGCCTGTATCTGTGCCTACTATCTCTTAAAAAGCAAAATGTTTTTGGTTTTGGCAACAATTTCAAAGCAACATAAATCAGAACTATTTTTGTGGAAGGGACGGGATTTTAATATTGTTCCTGGAAAGAGGGAATTGGATTCAGACTTTGAAATGGCTACTGTTACTTACATATTTTTAATTTTTTTTTTTTTTGGGGGGGGGGGAAGGTGGTATGGCTGAGAGGCAGAGAATATGTAAAAATTTTTCATTTGCATTTGAAAGCTCTTGTTTGAGTGGGAAGTGATGGGGAGGTTGTTCTTTCAACTTGTGTTTCACAGTATTTTTTAAGTACTTACAGTGTTTCTGAAGAACTGCTGGTTGGTGACGATGAAACTCAACAGAGAAACTTCTTGTTGCTGAAAGCTTCAGAAAACTTAGTGTTTAACTTTATAAGTTTTAAAATAATCTTTATGTGATTTGCCAAGAAACAGAAGTTGGCTTCTGTCAGGTTAGTTTTGGGATAGGAGAGACTGAATCTTAATATCTTGTAAGATACGATATTTTGGAAAGCTTTAATTTGTGGCTTTTAATTACAACAATTTTTGCAAAAGACAATGCAGTCAACACAAATTGCATGAAATAGCTGTAAAGTAATTCTGTTTTTCTTTTGACAGTATTTAACAACCGTCATTCCTTATGAGAAGAAAAATGGACCCCCATCTGTTGAAGACCTTCAAACATTAACCAAAAGTGAGCATATGAAATTCCCAACTGATATATAGCTCTTTGTATTGCCAACCATTGTTACTCAAAAAAAAAAAAAAAAAAATGAATCAAACAATTCTTTCCTGCCTACCCTAGGTCATTTATTTAAAACTCTGCGATTTTTAACCATACATCTTGGCCAAGGATTACTCGGCTTCCCCCCCCCATGTGTTTAAAAATGATTAGTTATTGAGGTGATTAAACACAGCAGATATCTCTGGGATTRTAGCATCCCCCTAATTTTAGATTTATAGGAAGAGATGAAAGAAATAGATGCTAGAATGCTGGAAAGCCATTTGACTAGTTTTCAGTGCAGGGCTTGTATCTTTAGTTCTCTTTAAGATACTTTTCAGCCACACAGGTCTGTCATTCGACAGCTGCRTGAGGGATGGGGGAAGTTTTTGGTATGTCCGATTGAAAAATTAAATACTAGATAAATTCTGAACTAAATGAAACATTTAAATAGACAGTTTAGATGCCTTATGTTTTTCTGCATAGAGATCWTCAAAACCTGCTTGGACACAAGCCTGTGCCACRTGCTCTAGGTGACCCTGCATGGGCAGAGGGGTTGGATTAGATGAGCTGTAGAGGTTCCTTCCAACCTTAAGGATTTTATGATTCTATGACTCRCTTAGAGGCAGTTCATACAATGTATCTTTTTTTTTTCACATTTATTCCTCCATAGAAATTTTATCCTCTCGTTATATTCGAATTTCACCTGAAGCTATTGTCAACATTCCATATTAAGCAGAAAAAAACCACAAAACATTCTGAAAATGGGTTGTATTGTTTCATTGTTTATTAACAAAATGATAGATCCAAGTATGCACTGTAAAGAACATTAGCTTTTTTGCCTTCTGTGGATTGGCTGAAACTTAATCCTTGTAGTTAAAACTGAAACTCAATTAAAAAAAGAAATCAAAAACATCCTGAAACTTCATCCAATTGCAGACTTCCTAACTCATATTTTGTGCTGTTGTTAGGCAGGCATTAAAGCATTTTTATTTAAAGCTATGTCTTATTCCATGGCTGTGAACACTRGTATCTTATTTCAACATAAAAATGGAAATAAACTCTTGTTGTTATATTTGAAGTTCAGATCCTTGCATGAGGGATCTGGAGTTTATGAATGTGCCGTGTGCACATTATGAATGTGCTATGATTCTGTGCTTCTGATTACTTAATTTATGTTCATAATATTTCATAAAGAATCAACAACTCTAGAACATAAAGCAGGTATAGCATATAAAATTAGAAGCTCCTTGTTAATGGACTTTTCTGGTAAAATACAGTCAAAAATGCTAAAAATGTTTTCTCCGTTTGCTTGTAGAAATCTTCGTTGCTTGTTTTCTACATTTGCTTGGGTAAATCTTTGGTTGTCCTACGTGGAGCTTCAGGTTTTGCCAAAATATTTGAGGAAATATAAGTCAGTGTTTTGGAAAGCTTACTTTCTGTAGTCAAATCTGAATTATGGTGAAAATAGTAAAGTAAAAATAGTTAAAGCCTTGCCCAGCCTCATAGAATTACATGAATTTTGAAACTGAGGACAAATTAGCCTAATAAAACATACTCGGGGGAAATAATGAGGAAAAAAAAACAGTGTAAAACATCATTGGATTTATAATTTCAGTATCAAAGTTTAAAAAAGATCGGACCCTAAATATTATATTTTAAAATTTCTGAATTATGTCACCTGTAAATTAGAATAAGGATGGGAAAAAAATAGTATGTTTTTCCTGTGTCTAAATAGGTCTTTTTTTTTCCCCCCTCTTAGTGCGTGGAAAAACATGAAATAGAAAATATAATTTCTCCTAGCAGTTAAGAAAATACTGAAATATTAAGTGTATTATTTTTAGATTGGTGACATTTACAGTAATTGCTTAACCATGAAAAATGGGTCACATGTATCCACCTACTATGGAGTTCAATGAGAATTATGGAAGGGGAAGGTACAGATGTTGTGTCTTGTGGTATCTTTTGATATTAATTAAGTTTTCTTGCTGATTTAGTAGTAATATCCCTATGAGGTCAGGTCAAATGGCCTGACTCTGTTTTTATTATTGTTTTCTTTTTCAAGAGTGATATGCTTTAAAATATCTGAATTGTTTTTTTCTCTCTTTACCACCTTTAGTCCTTCATGCCATGAAGGAGGATAGTGAGAAAGTGCCAAGCTTGTTAACAGACTATATTTTAAAGGGTAAGTATGATTTTTGGCTTGTATCCATAACAATTTAAAATAAAGGATCCTTGCTAATAACTACAATATGTATTTGAAAAGAGTAGTTCTGCAGCACTCATGAATTATGTTGATTTGTTTCAGACAAAACCTTCACTTGAATTTTCTTACATTCATTTCAGAGGTTTCTGAACATATAGTTCATACATACAGTGTTTCATTTATTTTTTTGATAGTGTAAAATACTAAAAATATAGGGCATTATTTTCAAGTACCTGAAAGATGTCAGTAGCAGAGCAGTCTGGATTATAAAATATATAAAAAAAATATATCCTTATAAAAGGATGTTTTTTTCCCTTCTGCTACCAGTTTCATTACTGAAGGGTCTGTCTGTGTTGCAACATCCGCAACATAGAAGTTAATCAGCACAGAGCTTTGTGTTGCTATGTTTAGWTTGCATAAATACTGCTAGCTCAGCTGGAGGTGTTACGTTGCAGCACTCATACATCCTGTGGAGGAGGCCTAATCTTCCAGCTACTTTCTGAAACTGTAGTCTATTTCTCTCCTCTTTCCTCTAAGATCTCTGGCTTCAAGTCTCACTGATGCTTCATAGTAACTATAGAATATTCCCAGCCACCTGTCTATTACCTGGAAGTTATTTTTAAAGACTGGTAAGRGGGATTAGAAGATTCTGAGCAATTCCTAAAAGCAGCTTTAATTTCAGCATTTGTACCTGAAATTCCAAATTCCTGAATTTTGAAGTGATTTGAAATGAGTGATTTGCTTTCAAAAGGATCCATTCACTTCCCTGAGAAGACTTGACATGTRTGTGAAAATGTTTGTGAGGATTTAGGCTTTTGAATTTATTTTCCAAGAAAAACAGAAAAACAGAAGAGCAGGCAGTAACATATATTTAAAAATAGGGCAAATGGAGCTTTCTGGGGAATCCTGTTAGTGTGCAATCTTGTCAGCAGTTACAGCTTTCTTTCCAGCTTTAACATTTGTAGTGTTGCACATGCAAAAAAAGAATCTTCTGAAGGTCCTTATCCATGTTTTTTTAAAGCAGCAAATTCTGAATACTATATTTAAAAAAAAAAAAACCTAATCTCTTCCAGGTTTATGGCTGTCCACAGAATTAGCAGTTATCTTGCCCAGATATTGTCCATTACTTTTGATACACTATTTAGATTATTTAGAATCATGCATTGAATTAAAATGAGAGGAAAAACGTTGTTCTGTCAGTGGCCATAGGGTTGTTCACATACTATAATGGGTCAAATAAAGTGCTGTGAACACAGAAAGGTAAATGTAACCATACGATGGAGCAGCCAGTGTTTGTTTAGCAGGAGACCTTGCCAAATCCACTGCCGCTGTGATAGAAGTAAAAGCTTTTGAATTTATATCTCCTGAATTTCCTGAAGTGTTTTATAGAAATGTTACCATCTTGAACAGATCTGAAAGCTGAAATAATTCTGAAATTTGAGAGAGACTAAATTTGAATTGTGTAGGAAGGCTGCAYAGTTTTTATTGCCTAATACTGAAATCTTTATTTGATGATGATTGAGTGGCTCTGTGTAGGCAAGGCAGTTTGCTCAAGCACTAGAGCAGGGGGCTGGAATCGGTGAATTCCAGTGACCTGCCCTGTCACTATGGGCTGTTCTTCCCTCCCTGCCCTGCCCTCTATAATGTGTAAAAGGGTACGTGTGTAAAACTGTCAGCTAAAGCATCTGAAGCATTGAAAGTAAAATTCCCTAGAGCAAGGAACAATTTTCTGTAAAACTGTAGCATAATAAAGTAAAAAAGGCCAGTGCAACTTGGTGCTGTCTCCACAGAGGCATTACACTGTTCRTGTTAGGAGACAGAAAAAGTTCCATATGCAATTCCAAATAAGATGACCAGCTTGGAAATAGTTTATGGTATTTGCCTTTTTAAGCATCCTCTTTTCCCAATTCCTACTGCCCTCTTGTGTCCCCCAGAATATTAAAAACATCATCACTTCAGTTTATTCTCATATGTAAGTCTCTTTTCCTAGTGATAAGATAGCTCACCCCAGGATCTTTTCTGTAGAGAAGAGCTTTTCAAATATGAATTCCTGAAGCTGGTCCAGGTACACATTCCAGATAGCGTGGTGCAGTTTGTGTTGCATTTGAGRCAGCCTAAATAATTTTTGAGCAAGTTTTTTGTCTTTTGGAGTTCTCTTCTTTTTACTTTTCACTGAACATTTTCATCCTGAAGTAATAATGAAAGGGATTTGGTGATTTGCTTTGCAGTTCTTCCCCCACCAACATATGATTCATAGTATAATTTATAGATTTAGAATAGAGATATATGCTAACATGAACTTGATAAGCATTTGCATCTGTGCTTTAATTTTCTGAGTATAACTCCTTTAATGTGTTAATATCATTTCTGTGTCTTATCCTTAGGGATCGTGAAGCAGAAGATCTTTGGTTTGGGAGAAGTTGGGGGAATGCATTTGTTAGGGAAAGAAATATCAAACTAGTGTTATGAAACTCTTGATTTTTGTAAAGCATATTATCAGATTGCAGCTGGTAGCTAAGTGAACTGCTTGACTAATGAAAGATGTTTATGCTTGTCTTTCTACTAATCTTTTTTGATCAAAACAAATATAATGTGCTTTGAAAATATTAAATTGTGACCTTTCTTGTGCACAAATTAAGCTGTAAAAGAGGGAGCACAGATATTTTTGTCATCTCTTCTGGTTGCATTCTTTTTGGATATCAGACAACACCAGGTACCAGGTCTTTCCACGAAAGCATTGTGTATTGACTGTATCCAGTCAATACTGGAAATACTGTATGCAGTATTTTTTAGAGGCTTTTTTTCTCTGTCTTTTGATGCATTATTGTACTTGCCAAATAAATCACAATGCACAAAGCAGCAGCATCTTTCTGTAATTTCAGAAATATGCATCTCTAGGCTTTTTTCTGATGAAAATGCCTCTATGCAGTCATGTTGTGTATCCTCTCAGCCCATAGGTGTTTGCCTGTTTCAACCCAGCTTAACAGAGAGTTGCAAGCTTCAGGAGRAGCCTTTTAAAAATAAAATTTATTTATTTTACATTAACAAAGCAAGAATTTAACTTGTGTTCCATTTTTAAATTATACCACTATTTCAGATAAGAACATTTATTTTCTTGTCTTTGAAATTTTTCTTTTTAATTGTTACATCTGACTTCTTTATTTGCTTTTGTGTTGTGCTAGCATTGGTTTGAGAGCTGGATTGTTCCGAGGTTTGTGTCCCTTACATGTGAAAGGAATGAGAAACACATGAAGGACATGTCTTGTCTTACCACTCTGTGATTCAAATACACAGCAAATTTACAATGTAGGATTAGAGTCCCAAATTGCCAGTGCATACTTTAAAATTTAGCTGCATGCTCTCACTTTTTATTGAATGTGCTGTTTTCTAATAGAGCACTTCAAAAAGCACAGTTTAAGACATGACCTTTAGTTAACTCATTTCTGGGTAATAATAGTTAAAGATAGTGGCTTTTGTCACCTAATTCTCTTTTGAGAAGAGGATACTATCTGAGAGTTACAGCTGAAGTCTAGATTTAATGTGTAATWGATGGGGTAGAGCTTGCCATTAAATATTTCAGTTCATACAATATTTTTATATGGACTAACCGCATATATTTATTATTCTTTTGCAGTGCTGTGTCCTACATGAAGAGGGCTGCCTTTCTTCAGAATTAGCCATGTTCCTTCCTTTGATGAGAAGCTTTTCTGTGGATATAACTCATAGTATCTTGTTTTCATTTAGCACTATGCCTAAGCCAGTCAGCATTTACCTCCTGTATGTGTGCGTGTGTGTGTGGATATTCTGATCCTACAGTAAGTCTTCTGAGCATGACAACTTGTTCACTTAAACTAGATAGTGCAATGAACTGGAGCAAAGAACAAATACTGTACAGTTTTACTCACATTGTTCTGGCTTTTTAAAGTCTATTTTTACATTGTATAGCATGTACTATCCTCCTGCACATTTTGATGTTGGAAGGAAAAGTAAACTTTGAATAGTGTAAATAAAATAAACCTAGTTTTAAGGAATCTACATTTAAAACCATCATTAGTTCCTATAGCAAAAATGCAAACAGGATCATAGTRTGGCCTGTACTTAAAGATGCAGATGAGTTCTTTGGGAAGCACTTTGGGACAGTGTTGGTGAAAATCAATATTCAGCACTTTAAAAGTATTGAATATTGAAAGTATTTAAAAGTAATAACTTAATTGAACTATACAACAGTGTTGTTCATAAACTGAACAAATCCGGATTCTTTCACAGTTTTTCTTAACTAATTGGTATGTTTTCTATCCTTGTTAACAAAAACAAGGTAACAAGGTAAAAAAAACAAGGTAAAATTTCTGTATTTATTGGTTGTGTTTTAATTACGAATGTTCATGTGGATGACATTCTCCCATCTTGCTGCTATACTTCTACTGTTCTTAATAAGTGTTTGATCTTAATGAAAAAGCTTCAATGTATAAAAATTTTAAAGGCTATATCTTTTTAAAATTTTATGTACAGTTTAAAAGACATGCACCAAGGTTCCAAAGGAGAATTGTATAGGGACTTTAGTCATTGTGTATCTCTAACTTTTACGACAAATCTCTCTTGTAAATTGTATGCACTGTCTCTTCTGTGATGATGTGTCTGCATTCAAACAGATGAGAATGTTTTTTTACAAATCCTGCAAAAATACTACAAATCTACCCCATGACCTCAACATTAAATACTTTTCACAAGTCACTTTGCCAGTCTTAAAGAATAGATTGCCATATACGRAATACTAATAAAAATAAAGAAGCTATCTTCTACGTCAGATTCCTATGTATCCTATACCCAACTGTGCATACTGTATATATAAAAATAGTGGAAGATAAGTTTCTAAGCAGATAGACATATGTCTTTTCTTCAAGCATTTGTTTCTTTTGGTTTTAATTGGGAAGCAAATTGTTTCTGAATACTGTCATCTTTTTTTTTTTTAATGTTATAGCAAATAGTCATTTTGACTGGTAAAACTTACGGAATTTAAAATTCTTCCACCTTATACCACCTCATCACCAACAGACCAACAGCCTTGCCAGGCTAACAAGGAATAACAGGTTTCCTGAATAGGTATGCCATATCTGAGGAAGTTTGTTTGCTGTATTCTGCTTTATTAGTGGCTTATGTAAAAAGAAAACTGTCATTTATTTCTTCAGCTGAGGTGTTACCATGGCATGCTTTTTGTATAGAAACAYTTTCTTTTGACTGTTGGCACCTGAAAATTGACTAGGAGGTAACCCCATTTTATTTTGCTTTTGGAAGAATGCATGTTGTGAAACTCATTTTGTCTTCAAAGATATTCAGAGGTCGCTAATCCTGTTGTTGAGGCCTGAAGTGATTCAGGATAGAACAGGAAAGAAGCAAATTAAGGGGAGAATTACAGAAGCACTTCCAGAAAACTTGTGGTATTGTAGCAAATGGGATGATTTGGATGAAGTCACAAAATACTAAAAATAGTAAAATTTCAAAGAAAACAAAACAAAAAGATAAATCAAAGGACCTTTAGCTAGTTAAACATCTGTTTGAGTGTATGTCCCTCCTCCCCTACTAAACAGTATTTTGGAAAGTACCTGTTTAACTTGTATATAGAACCCTGACATTAAACAACAGTTGCCAACGGTGGCAAATGTATGTATATATGTATACACACACACACAAACCCCTGTATAAAAGTATCTCTCAAAAAATATGAATAAAAATAACCATATAAATCTGCTTTTCTGAGTTTTATGTGCTTCAGWTTCTCCATTCTTCATCCTTTTTACAGATCCATTATTGAATCTTGTATTTTCCTAGGGAGGTAGACTCTCATCATTTTTCTGTATTTTCAGTGTGTGATAACTGCAGCCGTCCACCCAAGAACAGTTGCTGACAGGTATGCTAGAAGAGATTTGGTAAAAATGCAAGGTTTATCCCTTGCTGAAAATACACATTTTTGAAATGAAGAGTTGTGTGAGAGATGTATCCTTAAAATCAGTAAGTTATCAAAAACTAGGTATCTATATGTATAGATCACCTTAATAGCTGATTTTACCCAATCCATTTTGTCAGATTCAAATATTTTATTAGCTTATTCACTTGCTAGCTACAATTACATCTTGAATGCAGTCGATGTGCCGTAGGCAGTTAGAATGCTAGAAGTATACATTTCCTCAGAAAGTTCARAAAAACAATATTGATACCATTACCTTCTGGTAAGAAATATTGATCTAAGGGGACTCTTGGCTGCTGTAGATAATAGTAATCAAGAATATCTGCTGTAAACTGTGCCAGGTGATTGAAACCTTTTCAAGCCATTTTGGAGCATGGATTTTGCTGTGGCACCTTGTGTGTTCACTGCTTCCAGACTGGATCCCCTTGTTCTGCTTTCTGCATGTATGTCCCTTGGAAAGTGCAGCTAGGCCAGCGACTGGCCTCCTGGTTGCTTTGCTGCAGTGTTGATGGCAGGCTCATAGTTGTGCACTGCAAAACTCGCCATGGCTGCCTGCTCCTTTCCAAGAGGGGAATTTAAGATATGCTGTTAATGCATGAAGTTCTAAACTGTGCAGAGCCTGGGTAGCACCAAGCCTGCTCATCTAGCTATGGCAGTAATGCACAGCAGTGGCCAGCAGCTGTGTATAAAACACTATCTACCCAATTCTGTCAGGAAGGACCTGCAAAATAAGACTTTTATTTAAGTATTCTCAATTCTGTTCCACTGAAGCCCAAATGTATTGACTGTCTGTTCATTCTGAAAAATGATCTTCTGAGTGAATGGTCTAGAATGAAATAGTMACCAAATTTGGGTAGATTTGGAAGTATTTTCTGGCCTGAATATCCATCCTCATTTTTAAGCTTTCATATGTGACTCCAAGCTATCCATGGATTCGAAATCTTTCCAGAAACCTTAAAAACTCCATCATGGAGGAAAATGAAATCTCAAAATAACATGAATCATGAGCCTTGCGTCAGGTGAATCTTGTGGTCTGTTTCTCTTGGAGGCATAATGGAGGTTGAGAGAAARTCCAATTGTCAGAAAGGTACGTCTGCCTCTTCTGATTTTAAGATAATGCAATTTATTTTCACGGTGTTTACAAGTTTGGTAGATAGCAGGGAGCTACAAAAGGGTTATATAAAGCACATTCAGTGATAGATTGGTGTTTCTTGGAGAATCTTCCTTGTAGCAGTTTTCTTATCGCATAAGACATTAACTAAAAGGAATGCTTTGGGCTTTTTAAATGCTTTATCTTTGCTGGTGAAATGCAATATCTTGTTCCTTTGCTCTTGTTCTTTTTAACTGTAGCCTACCTCCGGACATTTTACCTCCTGTTTTTATTTATTGTTCAGTGGTGGCTTTCATAAGCTGATTAGTGTCAAGTTTTAACAAAAACTCATTAGGAAACTTTATGAACCTGGAGAATTAATGATATTTTTTTGTGGCTAAATTTTGTTGTTCTTTCTTGTACCCTGCAAGTGCTGAATAGAATCCTCTCTGCCCTGAACACTAATTCCAACAAAGCTCATGATTGTTTTGTTGTTCTTTTTTTTCAATTCAATTTTTGGTTCAGGCCTTTTGTTAACTTTGTGGAACAAAGCTTTTTTTTTTTTTTCCTAGTGCTATATGTGAATTTCTATATCCAATTTCTTGAAAGCAGTATGCCATAATTTGGTAATTCAATACAGCAGGATGAAAAACTCAGCAAAGGTAAGCTGTTTTAGGCAAAGGGAAGTCTCTGGAATTTTCTTTTCAGGAAGCTGTATGTAAAATGCCCATTGAGAACTTTTTGTAACATAGAAGAACTCTAATTGTGTATCACTCCATTTGGGAAAGATCTGATCCCCCAGTTATTCTMCCCCCCGCCAGGGGGAATGACACTATGTGATTCCCTCTTTTGTGCCCAAGGTACCTACGTCCCTCGCTGTGATGCCTGGTGGGCATCTTAGAATCATTAAGGTTGGCAGGAACCTTTAGAGATCATCTAGTCCAACCTCCCTGGACACGCAGGATCACCTGGAACATGTGGCACAAGACTGCGTCCAAGCACGTTTTGAAGATCTCCAGAGAAGGAAAGGCAAGCTCTATCTTAGGCAAGCTCTATGCCTTCTCCGAGCACCTCTGAGGCAGTCGCCCAAGCTGTGTGTCAGGAGCAGTGTCTGCTGAGTCCGCCTGCTGGGTTTGCTTTCCCAACCAAGACTGGCCAGAGAGAGGCTGTGAACCTGAGAACCAGCACAGATCAACTAAGACCCCACTCCTATGCCGCATGCTGCAGCTCTGTRAGCAGCCCTCAGTGCCCTAGGGAGTTTTCTGAGGCCCCTTCTTAAGGGGACTCATTTAGGCCTGTGATGGGTACCAGGACACCTGACAGCGGAGATGTTTTCCCAGTGGAAGGAGTATGTGACTGGGCCTGAGGTCGAGTCTGTGCCAGGGTCTGTTCCAGCTAATGATGGGATACATCCAACTTGTGTCGGATGCTAGCCGGTTACAGCCTAGGCTTTGAGGACTGAATTCTCAAAATCTCTTTCCAAATGCGTAGCCTGTCCAAGAGTTACAAGCAGTGCGTCACCAATTGGCCCCCTTTTGGTGATGTCTCTTCTCTTGAGGATAATTCGTCTGCTTCCTCTGCTATAAATTAGTTTGCATTTGAATGTCTCAAATGTTGAGAWGGGAGCTCAGATTATAATTGAGAGTTCCTGTCTTTAGGGTCCAGTCTCTCTTCTCATAAATCTTGATATGCCTTGTAAGTAGCCTTACAATCGTTCTGCTCTGGGTTAGAGCAGAACTGGGTTGAGACTATAAAATACTCACCTCTGTTGCTTTCTGGACTCCATAGCAATTTCTCAGACAAATCTATATCTCTGACTACGGTCACCATGAGAGTATAAAAGACTGATATTTTTTCCAAAGACTGTGTCCCTTCTAATGAAGTTCTGCTGTCTACGTGGGAAAAGATACAGCTTCTTTCTGTCTGTCTGTCTGTCTGCCAATAAATGTTGCCAATAAATGTTGCTTCCCCAGGTAGCATTTAAATGCTTTTCCTTACTCCCTGCTTTTTAAGCATCGATCTGAAATGCAGGTGCCTGCCACAGGATGGCAGCAGTCGGGCACGTTTGAAGGATCCGGTCCAAGTGTTATTTTTCAAGATGAAGATGAAAGAAAAAGAACCTATTTATAGTAAATTACTACATTGATGGTATGACAAAAAAAGCAYAGCTTTTGTGTATTTTTTCTTTATTGTTACAGAAAACTATGTTTTACAAAGCTCATTACTATGTAATAATTTTCTTAGCTACAAAAGCTAAGATACAGTGATCTGAGAACTGTAATTTCTATGTTTTAGAAATTATTCTTTGGGATATTAAATACTCAGAGCAACATATGGAAAATTTCTCTTAAGATCATTTACATGAGCCTCTAATTGCAGTGTGTGACTGTCGTTTTGGTGTGAAGCCTGGCTGTATCTTACCTTCATTTTCCTTAGAATTTAGAGCCAGTTTGAAGACATTCAGGGTTGGAGATAATCCTTAGTGTTTCAATATTTATTTGGATTTAATTAAAGTTACTTTGATATCATCTCATTTTAATTAAAGTTACTTTGATATCAACTCATTTTGCAGCATTTAGAACAATACTCAAAAAATGTTTTTACATGCAGGGTTACTTGTAATGGTCCCTGATTAGTAGATTCCCTTATGATGCTATGATGGGTGCAATTAGCTGTGATCAAGATGTGCCTTGGCACTAGCTGGTAAAAGCACTGTGGTCATTAAGGCTGTACATGAAGAATGAAGGGATTTTATAGCATTATATGCAAAATGGATTTAGTGAAATAAAAGTTGTTCTTTGAATGAAAATGCAGGGGTAAAATTGAATTTCTAGACAGAAGGCTCTCTGCTGTGGCTCARAGAGTCCCTGCTCTCTCCAAGCAGGGATCTTCATCGCTGTAGGTAATACTCCAGCTCTGGAGTGCAAGGCTGTTCTCCTTCCCCAAGAATTTTAAGTTTTCAGCTTTTTATGTTTAATCATGTGCTACTGACTCAAATGGTTCTTCTTCATCCATCATATTCAGCTGAAGTAAATGGACTTAGCAGTAGAAGATGGTACTTGAGGCAGCAGCACTCACTTCAAAGAGACATTCAAGTCATTCTGGCCTAATAAGGCGGAACTGAAATTGGAAGCACTTGGTAGCTATATATCTGGAAAAGATGAATACTTTTTTTCATTAAGGAAGGAATTTTGGCTAGTATCTGTATGCATGAAGTGCCAGGCCTGATGGAATTGTGGTATAACTGCTACCCCTAAGATAGTAATAATCATATTCATAGATAAATGCATGCCCTCAGTGGTATCAACTGAAATGTCTCCTTAAACATTTGTGTACATGACTTTATTCTCTATATTCTCTCTATTGTGAATCAGACCACTTATGTTGCTTTGCTTTTCTTTTTTTGACATAAACTTTCTCCTTTCACATTCTCTGTTTTTTACATCTTCTGTCTCTCACAACTTTATATGCTGATTATCTTTCAGCTAACCTCTTCTGTCTCTCAATATGGAAAACATAATACATGACATGTAATTTATAGGAATTTACAGGCGCTCCGTGTAAATCTGCCTTTTTCAACATCCACCAGCTTCTTTGCTTTCCGTTCTGTCTTCTGTCCTCTTCC